CTCTCTATTCTACAATGAGGCCCATATACCCCAGACAAATGCCATGAAAAATTTTGATTTATAGAAAAGAAACTACAGGTTATGGAGTAACTCTGCTATCCCATAATACCAAAATGCCCCCCCTTGTACCGCTAGCCTCTAGACACCCAAATTTTACCCATCTATAACCCCATATCTGTTTCACATACCCTTGTACATCCCCTTCAAGCTTGGATTCTTGAAGACAATAAATGTCTGCCTTCCAATTCTCAATTAGTAATTTCACCACTCTTCTTTTGTTAACACAATTTAATCCCCTAACGTTCCAAGAGATAATATTGACCTTCATTGATACAAATTGCTAATAGATTTCCCCCTATTCCTAGAGCTTGACTCCGGAAAATTCATATTGAACACCAAATTCTGAACCTCCAAACTCCTTTTTTTCCTTTTTGGAGTCGTGCACATCTTCATTGTTGACGCCTCCCTCAACTCTTGTCTATGCCTATCAATTTTGAGAACAGCTCTAGAGCTTCCCTTTCACAACCCTGAAAATTTACCCCGTATGTCTTGCTCAATTTTAGAACGTTTTTATGAACCCACAAAGAAGCCTCCATCTCTGCCTCGATAAATTGCACATCTAAAGGTTCTGCATCATCCACGGACCATGTCTTGTGGTCTTCCTCATCCATCAATTGGTTTAATCCAGAAGAAAGAGAAGAAAATGGAATAATTTCTCTGTGAGAGCAAGATGCTCTAAACACCTGCTCCCCACCTTGCATGTTCATTACTTTTGTGGGTTCCTCGTGTACTACTACATTTTGCAGTTTGTTTGTACCAGAAATAGGAGAAGAAAAGGGAGTAGTTTCTCTTTCAGGACATGTTGGTCTAGCCACTTCCTCAAACCCTTGCACGTTCATTAGTTTTGTTGATTCTGTGTTGCAGATCTCTTCTTCTCTCTCCATCAGTGCAAATTCCCTTGTGCTAATGTTCGCTAATATCTCTGTTTCCATCGGGTCGGGCTTATTAAAAGAACCCAGAGCCGAAAATCTATTTTTAATTCCCAGTTCTGGACTCTTTAATGACCCACAATTAGGCCCAGAAATTAAAAGATTCCCTTGGCCCATACCCTGTGACCCAGTTGAGTACTTCCCAGCTGGCACCTCTTTATCCACTGGGCCATGATTCAAATTCAAAATGCAGCTGCCCTTAGTCACGTGATCCAACCCATCACCCCTTTTAACCCCTACGTCATAGTTACTGTTCATGTCTCCTCTGTTCACCGCCGACACCTCTGAAACAAATCTCCATATCACCGGCGCCTCACACCAAATCGGAATTGTGAAGATAATTCCATTTTTTTCTACCTCAATGCTACTGGGAACTGCTGCTACTGGGCCCTTCACTTTTAGACGAGCCCATTTAAGATGGTTTCGCAGAGAAGTTTCTTCCTCTGTTTCGATCCAACCACCACATCTATCACCGATCTCCTTGAAAATTCTTTGTGACCATAGATGGAGTGGTAATCCCAATACTCTTATCCACACCCACTCGAGATTGGCAGTGACCGGCAAACACTCTGCAACCGGCGACCACCAGTCAAGACTCATTAAATTATTTCTCCAACTCCATTCCCCCAGTTTAGTGTGTTCAGCTAATTTTCTGGAAGGAAACTCAAATAAGAATTTTGGGCCATGTAACTCATACATCTGGACCCCTGGAATTGCATTCCATTTGTTGGTAGCCCATCTCCGGATATTAGAAAGAGTAGGCACCTCCTTGCTGATTGCGAAGCTCCCGATCAGACACCTGCTCAACACGTCTTCATCACCTATAACTGGACCATTCATTACTATGCGTTGTACTGTCGACCGGTTCTCCGACGATGAAGTAGAGGCTCCTTCTGCTTCCCACTTGTCAGACCTGAAAGCACCTCTGTACGAAAGATTTCCGATCTTAACCTAGTTGTAGATTACACCCTTCACCTCCAAGATATCCAATCCAACAAATAACTGAAAGAATGGTATTTCACTAGCATGGCTGAAGACACTTTCTATGTTTTCGCAAATCAAGTAAATTAAAGAGAATAAATGAAGGAAATGATACTCAAAATCACATAAAACTGGAAAGGGAACTAACTTAATGGATGAGTGTGACAGAACAAACTACACAAGGGAGAAAATAGCTACACCACCACAAGGGCAAAAGGAGAGAAATAAGTGTTATTGACTAAGAATGCTTCAACTTCCTGGTATTAAAGCAAACTTACAAAGAAACTGCTAACACCATCATGCCTCGAAAACATTCCAGGAAACAATTTAAGCCATGTGTCATCACCATGCATCACGATTTTCCAACCAACTTTTAGAAATTGCACTGTAACAGGAAGAGAAACCATGGGCCATGTTAAGGCATCTAATCTGGAAACCGCCTAATCAATTAATAAACTATAACTTAACACGGATTTTCTACTTTATCAAATAGAATCTTAACAAGGATTTTCCAACTAACCAATTATGTTGTCATCCAACAGAGCTTGCGTGTTGAAATTGAAAGCAACGTCCAGAAATCCCCCAACAGCACCAGAAACCATGGCCTGCAAACACACAGCTATTGAGAAGCCTACTTTTCCAAACATAAATTTTCTCCAAAATCCTTTTGGTTACCTTCAAGCGAGGCATTGTGACAGTGGGAGGTGCAGCCTTCGCATGATAACCAATCGCCCTTCCCTTACTCAATAATGATTGAGTATATGGCATAGCTTCCTTGAAAGCTTTCTGCGGAGGTTGACCATCTTTCCCAAGCACGAATTCGGCTGGAAGACCATCAATGACCTAAGAAATTTGATTTTATCAGCAAAAATATAAGCTTTATTCCTAAAAACTAAAAAGAAAGCATGGCAACATCCAGAAGTTGCCCCCTAGATTTCAAACGTCACTAAAACACTTTTGGGTAAGATTAAACTAACAAAACCACTCACCATGAGTATCAAGCGGTCAAATAAAGGAGGTACCAAAGACAAGTCCTGCAGTTTTACCAAATTCACGACCATAACTGTTAAGGGCAACAAAACAATGGCATCAAATGTACACCAGAAAACAACATGACATGCTATTGGAACATATATTCTTGTAAAATCTCAAAAAGTTTCAAACTTTCAAGAACCTTAACAAATTTTGTAACACGCCATTCATAATAATACCAAATGTACCCCAGAAAACAACATGACATGCTATTGGAACAGATGTTCCTGTAAACTCTCCAAAGCTTCAAACTTTCAAGAACCTCAACAAATTCTGTAGCATGCCAAATGGTATGCATAATACACAATAATAGCAGTTATATATATAGTACTACTTCATATAAATGGGATAACACAATATGAATAAATTCTTTTAACCATAAATATTATCTTCTTAATCCAAAAATACCCCCCCCCNAAACCCCCCCCCCCCCCCCAAAACTAAAAAGGAAACCAACCTGGTACAGATATTTGAGCTGACTTTCTGATAAATTGGTGGTATTCTGAAACTCAGCTGAATCTGCTCCAGGTTGATAAAAACCCTCTACCCCACTGAAGAAAAAGAAAGGTATCAGTTCTAGAATGCAAATGAAAATTCCAACCTCTTATAAGAAGAAAAAAACATCAACACAAAATTACATTCTTGAATTTTCTAAAATGAAACTAACACTCTAATTTTTTTTCTTTATATAAAAATGTGAAGGGAATTAATTGTTGAGTACCTGAATCCAGAGAGTGCTGGCTTTACAGGGAAGAAACCAAGAACAAAAAGAGCAAGGCCAATTACTTGGATTAAAACTGCTAATACTGTAATTACTGTTAGCTTTTTACATGTTAATGAAGATGAATCCATTTTTCTCCTCCTTCTGCTTCACTCTGTGTGTGTGTGTGTGTGTGTGTTTTCCTTCAAGATCCTGAACTCTCTCTACTGTTGGGTCACATAACTGAGCTACCGTTTATGTTTTTTTTTTCCTTTTAAGTTTGGTATTGTTACATATTTACCCCTTCCTTATTTCTTGATTTCTTTGCATCTTATACTTTAGTCTTTACCAAATAATTATGATAGGTTCTTAATTTTTTTTTTTATTTTATGGGATAGTATTTGACTGAGCAAAATATTTAAGAAAAAAAATGAAGAACTTTCGAAATTTATGATGATTAATATATCATGACATTTTTGCACCTATAAATGTCATTAAAAATAAAATAAAAAGATTAAATAAAATTATTTCATAAAATAAAAAATATGTCATTCTTTTTCAGACTAAAAGTACTACATAAAATAGAACAAAGAAGTAACTATATGAAATTTGAAGACACAAAACGATGCGTTATGTTTTAGGCATTTGACTGGCTTCATATGCTAAGGTTTTTCCTCGAATGCACTTCTAATCCAAAAATAACAGATTTTACTTGTTTGCTTTTAGAATGTGAAGATAAATATTAAATTGTAAAAGTGAATATTAAATTTGACCGTAATTGCGCAGAATTGGAGGAAAACCTTTCGAGTACTTGGTGCATGCAAGAATAAAAAAAAAAATTAAAACTTGTGGTCTAAAACAAATCATAGAAACTTTGTTATAAATTATTAGTAAAGTAGAAAGTTAAAATTAAGTTGTTACTAAATACTATAAAAAGGTGTATCATCCTTTTTTTAGATAGACTTGAAAGTACAAGGGATGAACTATAGATTTTAATATTTTAGTCTATTTTTCAGACCTAGTCGACTGATGCAGAAATAGCCTATACAAAACTGTTAAGGAATAATAAAACGAACAAAATCTGTTCACTATTTAGCAATATTTAACATGCGAGCTCATTTGAAGTTTGTAGACATAACAGTGGGTTAAGGAAATGAATATTTGAATTTAACTATCAATCAAAGACACAAATTTGATGTTTTGAAAAGACAAAGGAGTAATTTGCCAGTTTGGCGAATGAATATCTTGAGAGCAAAGTTGGTTTGCTTCCATCTGTTTCACTTGTGCAGCAAGCAGAATTGCTCTATAACAATAGGGTAAGGAACATTTCTGATGAATAAAAAGCTGGATATCGCATGTTACACAATGTTACAAATGGATATCGCATGTTACACGATGTTACACATGATACAACTATACACAACTTGAAACCCAAAATTGAAAATTGGGGCAACTTTACCGCGTATTTTTAACAAAATTACAGGCCAAGTAGGCAACACAACTGAAATAATCAGCACACTTGAAGCATTGTTGCACAAGAGATACAACCTGGCATTGTTTCAATAAAGTTGAAAGATGTGCAAGAAGACCCTATTTCAAAGTAATAAGACCTCTCATGATTTGACATCCTTCAGCACTCCGCCCTTCTCAAGTTCACTAACAAGGTCTCTCAATGCTGGAACCTTCATGGCAAGAGTCCTGTAGAGTCTGGAATACCGAGCTCTGGTTCCGTCTGCTGTCCTTGCAAGAGCAAGCAAGCTTAAAGCCTCTGGGAGCTGTGTGAATAACTGCTTCATCTCATCCAAGCTCATATTTTCAAGAACGGTTGGTCTTGGAACAACTCGGACAATCTCACCCCCTTTAGGCTCCTGAACTCGTGAATCAGCTTTAATGACCAGTTCCGAGTTCGAGTTAGCTCCACATTTGATGATGAATGGGTTTGTTGAACCAGTGTTGAACTGAAGAACATTCCACTGTGCCACGTCAGTTTCACCCCCTAATCCCACATCCTCAGGATGTCGAGAAGCATGTACGGTGTCATGAAGCAGGTCATCCTCTTCAGGAATCGGCTGTGTAAAATCATTAGCAAGATAAAATACATTAGTTGAAATCAGAAAGAGTATCCTAGTTGAATGACCATCTCATATATACTACAAATAATGTTGGACTAGATTTTTGTAATTCGAAATGATAGTTCCCATATCATTTCAGCAATTTATGTTAGTATTATCTTCAGTGTTTAGCTCTGGTATCATTAATTCACTCGTGACAGCTCAGCTGCAGTTGGCAATAGTATCCACTCACATACTCAAAACTAGAAACAAGTGAGTCTCTCAAAGACAGTATTTTCACTTAAGCAAATAGAATGTTATCACATCTACACCCAACCTCAGAGCAGGTAACAGCAAGCATGCCTTCCTCAGCTAATTGAAGAGCTGCACAGCTACAGTACTCATGAAAATTTGCTACTAAAACGGGCAGCCCGGTGAACAAAACATCCCGCTTACACGCAGGGTCCGAGGAAGGGCTGCACCCCGAGAGGGTGTGATGTAGGCAGCCTATCCTGATGCAAGCATCAATGACTGATTCCACAGCTCGAACCCGTGACCTATAGATCACACGGAGACAACTTGACCGTTTCTCCAAGGCTCCCCTTGGAAAATTTGCTACTAAAACATTGTATAATAATCTCAACATTTGGACTCATATCTTCAGGGATGACAAAGAGAAGCACCAGATATTAAACAACCACCGGGGAAATTAAAGTAGCCATGTACCTCAACAGCATGCCTAGCTTCTTCAATGTGCCTCCGAGCACATGGATGATCAATATCAAGCAAAGAAGGCATTCGTTCTGCAAGTTCATCTAGAGAAGCAAGCATAGCTTTCTTCCTACTCTTACTGAGGGTGTTCACAGAGGATTGCCTCAATACGTCCTGTTGAAGTTAATTCATCAGATTGGTCTTGCCTCTTGATCCACCAGCACAATTAAAAAACAAAAGATGCAGAGGAAAGAGACTAGAAAATTAATAAAAAACCTTGACTAGTTTCAAAATGCCATCAAGGGAAACCAAGGATGCAAGTCGGGCATCTTCAGCTGCAGTAGAAGGATTTCGAACTGGTGAACTTCCATCTTCTAATGTCAACATTGCCATATCACTTCTCATTTGTTGCAAAATCTGATTATGAAAGTAACTGAGTCATACTTGCCTGCCAACCATCTCAATTCAAATAAAATGCTATATGCAAGAATAATGAGTTTATATGACAAGCTGTGGGATATTAAGTAGCCTAGGCATAAGGATACTGTGGATAATCATCCTCAACCCAATTTTTTAACACCTCATGGAATCTTTCAGCAGTTCAGGAAATAGACTTACATTGAAGTTCTTGCTTTACAGTTTATCGAGCAATTGTGGTTCACTCAAAGTATTAATTAAGTCACCAATAGAAGAAAATGTCATGTAATACGGCTTTCTTAATCAAAAGAGATCGATAGTAGATATACTAGATAATCTACAGCTTTGTTGGTTCATCGGTACCTAAGGGCAATAAGATCAGTATCACTTGGAGATTACATATATTATTAAAAGTAGCAATTCAATTTACTAACACACCTTTCTTCTTTTGTGATCAACAGACTCTAAAGCTGAACGCAGCTTCGCCACCTGTGTAGAGTCTTCTGCTGCTTCAGTTGCCAGTGTACCTGCAATGTCCTGATAAAGAATCGAATTAAAACAGCACAAGCAGGAAACAAGGCAAAAGAGATCCCCTAAATAGATCCAATCTAGTTTTCTTGTCTAAAACTGTATAAAAACACTACGACAAACTGTAAGCTATTAAAACTAACTAATCCATATTAAGAGTGTGCTGGACAAACACTGCAGTGTGTTTTCCTCTTCTTTTTTTTATCCCCCAACCCTACCCCCAAATTGGGGGGGGGGGGGGGGGGGGGGGGGGGGGGGGGGGTCGTAGTTCAGGAAACCTTTTCCTCCAATAGCTGCCAGAGGAACAAATAGCATAAGCTGGTCGTAATTTAAGATTTAGCTTTATACATGCAAGCAAATTGCACTACTTGATAAAATGGTAAAATATGGCTTTGAAAGAGTTGCCCTGAGTTAAAAGTGTTCAGTAGCCCATGCTAAAGCTATGCTGTTTCTTTGATAAGTGAGGATAAGCTGATAAGACCACCCACGAATGAGCAAAAGCTGCCCACCAAGAGCCCATTCAGGCAAAATTTTAGATTTTTAGTAAGATTGGATACAACTCTAGATTTTTCTTATGTCTCACGTGGAGGACCAAATCCTCGTGTTTGCATAGTAATTATTAAGTCAAGAACTTCTAAGCAGATGACATCTTCACTAACAAGCTTCTTCCGCCTTTGGCAACCATAGACATGCGAATACCAACTTGTCAGGGAGAAAGCAGGAAAGAGAAAAGTTTTGGTGGCCCCTCCAACTTTTATTTTGTGCCAAGGGATGAAAGAGTGAGAAGAGGAAGAGGAAGAGGAAGAGGAAGAATTTATTATTTTTCCCATCATATTTAAAGTTCAGAAGCTGCCATCATGTCTAAGAAGGAATTTCAGATCAAAAATAGCTCAAAACCACAAATCACCACTCCTTCCAAAACAAAGAGAATACAGAAGACATAGGTAAACAATCATTTTACACACCAAGCAAACAACAGAAGTGACTAATACAAGCTAACTCAAACTCAAACACATACTGATCTTAGAAGCATAATCCAAATCAATAAGAAAACCTATACCCATTACATTAGAGTATTGCTGACAAGCAGTTTCTTTAACTTAAAACTTCCCTACGTCACTATAACAGATCATAAGCCAAAATTAGTACACTGCTTCAAGATTTGGATTCACATGACAAACAATATAAATGTTATAATTATAAAGAAAAATGTAATGATTAGTGTATATCAATTCTTCGAGAAGAATTCAAAAGCTTGTATGTCAATTCGTCGAAGAAAGTTCAAAAGCTGCATGGTGAGATGAACATGTAGCCTTACAATAATAATACTAATAGTAAAAATCTTAGCATCCCTAAAAGATAAACAAGTAAAAATAGTATATTGTGAACAGATTATGATAATTAAATTGGGATAGACAACAACAACAACAACAACAACAACAACAACAACAACAACAACCCAGTAAAATCCCACTAATAGGGTCTGGGGAGGGTAGTGTGT